ACAGGCATGCGCCACCATGCCCGGCTAATTTTTTCTATATATTTTCAGTTGTCCAATTAATTTCTTTCTATTTTTAGTAGAGATGGGGTCTCGCTCTTGCTCAGGCTGGTTTCGAACTCCTGAGCTCAAACAATCCGCCTGCCTCGGCCTCCCAGAGTGCTAGGATCACAGGCGTGAGCCACTGCGCCCGGCCTAATTAACATTTCAAATGAAAAAATAACTTATATTTTTAAAAATTTGTGAGCAGTGACAATGTTACAAATTTGCAAATCTCTTGTGTCGGGATTAATAGAAGATAAACTAGATTCTTCTATCTGCTTCTGTATTCAGTCTACAGCAATATGTTGCTTTTGTTTAAGTATGTGGAAAAAAATCCAGCCTCAAACATGCAGCTGGAAAAGGAAGAGATATTTTACTAATCTTTTCAGATAATTATGGATATCCTTTTTTGTTATCACACCAAAACTCAACAAGTAGTAGTTTCTTGAAGGGCTACATGCCATGTAGAATCTAAAATCACATCAATGAAACTTTTTAGTCTCTGTTACATTAAAACCTACTGGTATAAGTGATATTTATCCAAAGAATGCAAGGTTGATTTAACATGTGAAAATCAATCAATGCAATTAACCACATTAATCAACTAAAAAATAAAACCATATGAGGCCAGGTGTTGTGGCTCACTCTGGTAATCCCAGCACTTTTGGAGGCCGAGACAGGAGGACCACTTGAGACCAGGAGTTTGACACCAGCCTGGGCAACACAGTGAGACCTTGTCTCTACAAAAAAATAAGAAAAATCAATTGGGCATGGTGGTGCGCACCTGTAGTCCCAGCTACTCAGGAGGCTCAGGCAGGAGGATCCCTGGAGTCCAGTTTGAGGCTAGGGTGAGCTATGAGCTATGATTTTATCATTGCACTCCAGCCCAAGCAACAGAGCAAGACAATCTCTTAAAACAAAAACAAAACAAAACAAAAAACCCTCCTCCCCAAAAAAGAAAAACCATATGATGATTATCTCAACAGTTGTAAAAAAAAAAAAAAAAAGCATGTGACAAAACCCAACATTCATTCCTAATTCCAAAAATAAATAAAACAAAAACAACCAACCTGCTCTCCTCCCCCATCCTCTTAAAAAAAAAAAAAAA